CTCACCATGAGAGAGTAGAGAATACTTACTTACTAAAGTGATTCCCCTAGATCGAAACTTGGGGCTTTTTACCCAGATTAAGAAGTTGCCGATAGATCATGTCACCTCAGTTGGTCAGACATCAGACGATGATGAGGCAACAGTTGTGTTCACTAATGCTGTTAGCCCAAGTGTTGTTATTGATCAAGAGTTTAAGAAGCTAATCTAGACCATTGCTGCGCGCAAACTTAATAAGTCCCACACTCTCAGAATAAGGAGATTATCACTCCTAGAAATCCTGTGTATTCTTAGTGATTTTAATGAGTCGGGTACAACTGGATGATATTCAGAGAGCAAAACTCCCTTAGACGAAAAGTTAGACGACATTAATGGAGGGATTTGTACTAAAGTCAAAAATAAAAGAACAAGTAAAGTAAAACCCTTGGAGGGTTCGGGGAAAAGGAATGACAACCCAATCATATCCGTAAACTCGCCTTTAAGAGGGGCTAAATCGGTTTGATCATTTGAAATTCGAAGAAATAAAAAAAAGCCCACTGACTGGCATACGCGTGATCTGGAGCTAATGGAACTAGCTATCGAAAATGTAGTGCCGGAAGTAGATATTACTAGGGTAACTCAGCCTGGAACATCTTTTGGGATACTGCTGACCCCAAGCTCGGATAAAGGAACAAGGTGGGGCTTGGGGTCAGCGACCATATCCCTCAGAAAACTAACTCGCTAAAAATCGCAAACCAGAAAATATAATTCATTCCATTTAAACTCTGCCCTGGGAATTAGGAGGTCTTCATTCAGAAGAGCTATGGCGTCTCACTACAAAAGTCGACTTCTTTCGGAAGTCACGATGTCAATGCGCCTTCTAACAACCAGTGCAACCATGCTTTGAGGGACCGGAAGAATGTTCTAAAGTAATGCAGAGATGAAAAGATACAACCTTGGGGTGCTTGGAATCAGTGAAACGTCTAGAGTAAATCATGGTATACGGTGGACAACTAGAATGCCGCTGGACTATCTAGACTTCGTAGATAACCTGGCTCTTCTATCGCACATGCAACAACAAATGCAAGGGAAGACAGCCAGTGTAGCAGCAGCCTCAGCAGCGGGTCTCAGGAAACATAGAGGAAAAGGCAAGATTTTCGATACACCATAACATGCACCAACTAAATCACTTTTCATGGTGATGTCTTGGAGGATGTAAAAACCTTTACCTATCTGGGCAGCATCATTGACACTCAAGGTGGATCCGCTGCAGACGTAAAGGCGCGGAGCGGCAAAACGAGGGCTGCATTTCTACCATTAAACAACATCTGGAACTCAAAACAAATATCAACAAACACCGGAGCCGAAATTTTCAATACAAATGTCAAGACGGTTCTACTGTATGGCGTGGAAACTTGGAAAACTACGAAAGCCACCATCCAGAATATAGAAGTATTTATGAACATTTATCTACGGAAAATACTTCAAGTCCGTTTTCCAGACACTATCAGTAACAGCCTACTGTGGGAAAGAGAACTTGAACCTTGTATCCGGGAGTAGCGGGGAAAGAGACGTTTTCATAAGTAACGTACACAAAATTCGCAGTTTGAATATTCGGTTCCAAACTAACTGGGCACTGGAAGACCGGATAAAATAGAAAAAATGCGCTTACTGAGCTGAAAACTAGAAAACAAAATGGTGAAACAACTCTTGCGATCTACTGAATTTGGTTAGTCATGTCTCATAATCCAATATTTCTGAGGCTTGTTCAGCTATAATGAACGATTATTAAAACACCTCATATGTGTGCCCCACGAACGCTCGCAGTCTTAGAAGCAAAAGGTTCAAGCCAAGTTCAATGACGGATGAATAAAGTCCGGATATATTCGTTGTCAGAGAAACGTGGCTTGTTATAGATGTAGACTGTTCCTCTGTAGTCGCAGGATACGGCTGTTTTAGAAGCATTGGGGTCATAGCTTGCAAGAGGAGTGCAATTTACTATTTTTGATACCATTTTGGAGTTCAGCCGAGCACATCAAACGGGCATGATTTTGGTACTTGTAAGAGTGCTTGTTGTATACTGGATTTTAGGCATCGGTTGGAGACCACTGGAGGGATATACCGTAGTCCATATGGTCTTGATGGTAACTTTATCCCAAGGCATATCTAAACTGAAAGTAAGGTTGCTTATCTCATCTTTGTGGATTTCAACACTCCATTCATCCACTGACTAAATTTCACAGCTTTAGGCTTATGTTTTGTCAGCAGCCTCCTGTCAACTACTATTCAGTGTGCACTTATGCAGTGTATCGTGAAACTGATTCACATTTGTTTAGGGCATGAACTAACATTACTGGACCTTATTTTTACATACCATGGCGATGACATCATCAACATCTAACATCTATCTTCCACTGGCAAACAGCAACCACCTTATATCATAATATACTATATACTTTAGGTTTCAGACATATGATGTCCATAATTTGTCTACTCCATTCCGTCACATCATCTGGTGGGCTAACATCCGGACAATCGAAGGCTGTGATATCCCAACAGTTTGGTTGATCAGTGAAGATTGGTCGGTCGAAGATGAGTGGAATAAATTTAAAGCCATATATGAGTCTGTATGATATTCGTTCATCTCATGGTCTACGCATTAGTTCCATATTGCACTCTAAGGACCTATTGGGAAGCCCGCGGACTTCAGAGGCGTGGGAAACACTTCTGGGATCTGTATATAAAAAGACCACATTTTCAGAACCTTTTCAAAACTCCATTCAGGCTGGGAAATCCTTGGCGTTTCTAGGGAACATGCTCCCTATGTACATGTCTGTCTGGATTACAGCTCGTATCAAGCGCGTTCCAAATGACCTTTCCCAACAAATTCACTATTGATCTCGGCAAATCGCCAAAAGAACCTATTGTGCCTTTTCCTTATTTATACTCTACCATTGAAAATGTGGCTGTATTATACTGTTTCTGTCAGTGACATGGTGTAAATATGCAATCAGAAACTGACTCTTACACTTAATTTAACTGCTATAACTTTACAGTAATTGTGAAAGCATTTGTGACAGTTTGATCTAGCCTGTAAACTGGCGTGACTCTTGTAACGTAGTTATTTGAGAATAAATATTATTATTATGATTATTATTATTAAGTCGTGCTACGTTGGAAAGAAACTCGACCTGAGATAGTCCGACTTATCCAGAAGAAGTGTTTTCGTGCATTCAACGAGGAACAAGGTGTAGTGATGGAATTTCTTCATTATTACTGCTGAGTTAGATTCGGCCAAAGCTGAAACGTTATCGAACTATTCTAGCGAGGCGTTCTCGACGCGTATTGTTAACTATACATTCCATCAACATGACAGTAAGATACAAGATATAGAACTAGTACTTATGAGTGAAAAAGCCGTTCCTCAACTGCTCAAGAACCTCAGAATTGATTAGTCCCTGGGTCTTGATACTTTATTTCTACGATTACTCTAATTTCTCGAGGACACTATTGTAGAACAATTCACGATGATATTCAACATATTCCTTTCCAAAGTTCAACTTTCAAGGGATTGGAAAGATGCTATTATTGGCCCTGAATTTGGAAATGGCAACAGTCGAGACGTGTCTAACTACCACTAGCGCCACTGGAAAAGATAAATCAAACTAAGATATTGAGTCATGTAGAGACATTTAATGAAGGGAGTGGAGAGAACATGTACTATAGGTCACTTGTGTTGCTTCTAATATTATAAGAGATATTAAAAAGTAAACTAAAGCACTCAGTGGACAGAACCTGTGGAATACATTTCGGTATATTCCTGTGCAAGAACATGAGGGCATCAAACCGTTGTTTATTATGATGATCAATGCCTTAACTTTTATTTACCTTCATCCTTTCACCAACCCCGTGTTTTCCCCCTACTTTTTTCCTTCACGTTTTTTTACGAACATTATTAAATCAACACAATTCTCATACCGTGTTCAATTACTTGATGTTGCTAAGGTTTTTAATCAAAGGGCAAAGAAATAGGTAGAAATCTCACGTTTTCAGCAGCCGTTCCGTCCTTTCCAGGATGCCCTGCAAGATGATGAAACCACTTTCCTCTCAGCGGGTGGTTACAAGAAGAGTAAAGATGATCATATGTGTGATCCTAGATTAACATTTTTCGCCCTGGGATAGTTGAAGGCAGCGTTAACTAAGGAGGAAAGATATTTTTTAATTCACTATTCTTACTACTCTGAAGATAACAAATACCAAGAAGCCTTACAAATCGAGAGAGGTTCAACAGAGCTCATATACTTCACGTGATTTTTCCCATTTATAATTGTGAATTAAGAAAGAACAAACATCTTAGCAGAATATCATGCATTCATTTACTTCATGGATTCTCCTCCACGTTTTTCCTGATATTTATCAACGACCTGTTACACAAACGTAGCTAATCGGCATTTATCTACTCAGATGATTCAAAGATCTAAAGGTCCAATAGAAGCGAAGAGGATTCGACTGAGCTTCAAAAGGACCTTACATCCATTGTGTAACGTACAGTGAAAAACGGTTTAAAAATAAACCAGATTATAAAAATTCTGCCCCACATGACACAAACGACTTACACCTTCAATGGAAGTCCGCTCCCTAATGTCCTCTCAGATCTCGATCTCGATTTAATAATAAGTGGAAGTCTCCACAACTGTTCAAAGTATACAGGGGACGCAGCCGAGGCAAATGCAACCCTTCGCTTTATGCGAAGACTACTTTTCGCAATCAACTCAAAACTATTCATAACGTTATTTAAGGCATTCATTCAAATCACTGGAGATACAAACTCACAACAAGCTGTCAACTGACTAAAATTCGACAGTTGAGTAGCTAGGCCCCATCCATTGGACACTACCAAACGCCTGGAACTATAGCGAAAGAATAAGAATCGCGCACAAATAAATCAAGTGGTTTATATTAGGTCGTAAAAAAGATATTGGAGATATTGGATATTGGACTATCCTTTAGTTGGCAATATGAAAGTATGCATTACCTAAGGCTTTGTTCAGGGTCGTTTATTTAACGCGACTTATTCCTTGGAGAAGAACTGTTGTTTCCTCATTCCATATGAAAACAATTTAGAGGCGACTGAATATTGTGTATGACACTTCAAACAGTTCGTTTTCTATTCCACCTTGTGAATGACGTGTATTTACAGATTAAATGATAATAATCGTCATTACTTTCAAACATTTCACATCTAGCAGAAAAATTCCTATCTCAATTAGCTTATGTAATCACTAATTGATGTTACATGATCCTCGGGTTCCCACATTTTCATGAGGTCTCATCCTTTTTACTGAGATTTCAAGTGAAATGGAATTTTTAGTCTTTGTTTTGTGTTTAGAAGTTTCATCCTTCATTATTTTCCCATGGTTTACGTTTTATTTTCATCTCTGTATGCTTTTGAAGGTGGTAGAAATCAACACTGATTCCCCTCCAGACTTTCATGATCGTGAACATCGCAATGTAGAAAACAGGATTGATACAGTTACTCCCTTACTTCATCGATTCCCATACTCTATTGTATGGACTCCAATTCCCTTATTAACGTATGCTTTCATATATACTAACATAATTACTAGTGCAGATGGCTGTTTCCTGTTATTGGACATATGGGAATAGCTAATTCATATGGTGTTATATATGATTTCGCTGCCCCTTACACTATTGGGGTAAATTTCAGCTTGCTATTGTAATAAATAACACCTTACTTTTTAGGAGGATCAAATGGCTTTCGGATGGCCAACAATGTAAGTTTTGTAACAATCTGGCCTTATCTGTAATTACTTTAGGTATTATCAACCTCATATAAGACTCAGAGGAAGTCGAGAAACCTGGGACAATGCCATCTTTGAAGCAAATGAAGTTTATAAAGGACGAATAGTATGTTTTTAATGATTTAATATAAATAGCTGTAATGTATCTAACTGAATTACAGAAGTGTAGCTTAGTGGTTTAAACATATGATTTTCAACTGTCGAGTCACAAAATATGGTGCTTTATCATCTATCCGTATTGTTTCTAGTTTTCAAACAAACCATCTAGCATAAAGTAGTGCGTATTCAAGTGTTGAACTGCACAAAAATTCACTTCCATTTATTTGTTGTTTTTTGATGGCATTACAACGCCTAACTGAACCGTTACAAGCTCGTAAATATCTTACACCCTACCTACTTGTCAGGAGTTATATCTCCCATGTGTAAATATAGCATCCTCAGAACCACTCAAAGATATTCAAATCTGTCTCAAATCTCATATATAAATCCATCTTATTATTTAATCTCAAATGAACAACCTGTAAGATACATTTGTCATCAATAGGAGAGCAATAATGAATATCTTTACTTGTAGTACTAAGTATTTTGCTTAAAGCTATGCGGCTTTAATATAAATTAGCAATGCTTGTTTTAAATTATTCAAATAATCTTGAGTAACAGACTGTTTTTAAAAATGTGTACATAGAATAGGAATAATCCATACCAGTGGCCAATGTCTGAGTAACAGTACAACCAGCTTACAACAGTTATTTCTTCCGGGCTTATTATGAAGACGAAATAATGGAGTTATTTGTTAGTAGTTATGACACTTGATACTCAACCACTGAGTGTTTAAAGGTTGCACACCATCATATTTAATCTGTTTCGGTCTATTAGGTTATTTCACAAATCTCCACTCAGAGTCGAGTAGATAAACATCAACCTGGGGAGTGCGTTGTATTTACTCTATTCATCTGTAGATACACAGAAAATTTGATATTTTATGTACTGGTTCTTACATAGTAGGCTCAATTTTATATGTGTATTTTTCTTATTTATAGGAGTAAATCTAATCTAATTTAATAAAGCCTTCTGTTTAAAATGTTTTTGCGCTCGTAAAATTCATTTTTCTCGTTTTCTTCAGCATAATCTGTTTTGTGATAATTGTCATAGTCATGTGGCGTATGCTTTCAATAAAATGCGATTTCAAGATAAAGACAATTGGAATATGTTTAGTGTAGCAACACTATTGTTCTTTCGCGGAAAGTATGTTAGGTAAGCTTATTTTTTCGACAACAGAAGAAAAGATGTTTTCATTCATTCTATCTGTGCTTTTCGTGTATGAAAAATAAAATGTATGAGTGTTTTAATTTTTACTGCTGATCAATCTTCTGGTTTATAACTTTATTGGCTACTCATAATTGTTGTAACTGATATTCACTGATTGATATTTTCTGAGCAATTGTGTCAATTATCTATTTCACTTCAACATTGGGTTGCATCGGCACCTGAACTAGTGATAGGGAGTGTAGTAGTCAAACGTGTAGACCGCTTCACTTGTCTGGGGAGTCTCACCAGTGCTGATGGCTTGGTGACTGACGAAATCTCAGCACGGATACAGAAGGCTCGATTAGCTTTTTCCAACCTGCGTCACCTATGGCGCAGGCGAGATATCCGTTTGCTAACTAAAGGACGAGTTTACTGTGCAGCAGTTCGCTCCGTCCTACTGTACGGATGCGAGACTTGGCCGTTAAGAGTAGAGGACTTTCGTAGGTTACTAGTCTTCGATCATCGATGTCTCCAAAGCATTGCTCGTGTATCATGGGACAACCGTATGAGCAATGGTGTCGTTAGGAAACGAGTTCTAGGTAGGGTTGGCAAATCAATAGATGAAGTAGTGAAACTTCATCAGTTGAGGTGATTGGGACATGTATTAGGTATGCCTAACCACCGACTGCCTCGATGAGCTATGTTTTGCGGTGTAGGAGTAGGTTGGAAGAAAGTTAGGGGCGGCCAAATCAAAACATGGCAGAAATCCACGAAGTCACTGACAAGTGGACTGAGTCATGTTAGAAGATGTAGGCTACCTGGTTGGGGTACGCGAGACGATAGTCTTCGATGGTTAGAGACCTTGAATGACATGGCTCAAAATCGTTCGCAATGGCGCCGGTCCATTTATTCTTTGTGTTCTCTCAAATCCTAATCTTCTGGATTCTTCATAATCTCTATCTTTCTCCTAAATTTATCTCACTGTACTATACTTCTCAAATCGTATCTTCGAACCCTAATCTTCTGCATTAGTGCTAATACTTTTACTATCGCTACCACTATTGGATTTGAATAGACTGTCCACTTATCAGTGACTTCATAGATTTGTGACATGTTTTGGTTTGGCTACTCCTAGCTTTTTTCCAACCTACTACTACTACTACTACACCGGGCATCATTGCTGGCCGGGCAGTCGCCGGTTAGGATTACGCAACAAACGTCCCAACCACCTCAGCTGATGAACATTCACTACTTCATCTATTGATTTGCCATCCTTAGGTAGTATCCGTTTTCTAACGACAGCATTGTTAGCTCGGTTATCCCAGGATATACGAGGAATATATCGAACACACCTATGTTGGAATACCAATATCCTCTACTCTGACTGCCCATGTTTCACACCCATATAGTAGGACGGAGCGAACTGCTTCACAGTAAAATCGTCTATAAATGACTCAAGTTGGCAAAAGCCAATCGAGCCTTCTGTATCCATTGCTGCGACTTCGTCGGTCACTAGGCCATCAGCACTGATGAAAAAAACTACCGAGGTAAGTGAAGCGGTCGACACGCTCAACTAATTCACATTTAAATTGATTAAATTCCTATCATCGAAAACGTGACCTATGTAAAAATTTAGATGGATTTTCACTTCCAACGAAAAAATTTTTTTCATACTTCTTGTTATTATTTTTGATGATACACTAATTTAATATCATTTTATAAAAACAATTAAAATACTTAATCTATTATGTTTGTTTTTATTCTACCCACCAAAATATTTATTGTTAAATATCTTTTTTTGTTTTTCTTATAGTAAACGTCATTGTTTTTCATCATGGTTACCATTCATCATTGTAATATGTTTAGTACTGACAATTATATCAGTTGTTTTAAAGATTAATTGAGTCACCTACAACCACTCTATATATGAACTCTGTCAGATTATATTTGACTGACCTAATCTAATCTAATATTTTCTTTGTATAATACTTTATATTTTAAAATATGTCATCTGTATTTTTTATTATTCAATAGACCATCATATTTTCATGTGATTTTATGAGTACTCTTCACATATCATTGATATCACTGTCAGTACTGATATATATATATATATATATTTACCGATTAAAATCATTTTGTTTTTCTTACCAGCGTTTTGATGCAACAATTGAACATTTCACTTATTTGTGTGTCAGATATTTTTAACAAAATTAACCAATTCAATTACATATAATGAATGTACTACTGATGTAACTAAACGTCTATATTTTTTGATATCAATCAGAAAGTATAATAGTAGTAATAATTAGTGTGTTTTTCTTTTCAACTATAAATATCTATTTTTTTTGGGGGGGGGGTGGGTGATGTTAGTATTCGATAATAAATCACTTTGTTTGTCATCTACGCGCCATCTCCGTTTTTATTCAGGATATGATTTGATTCAATCTTTGTTAGAGCATTTTAAATCTTTAAGTAGGGATGACTCACTATTAGCGCTGTGGTCACAGATTGATCATATGAATTAGCTGACAAGTGTTGAGATAGAATTCTATTAATCAAATTAATTCTACCAGTAACATTTATATAATCTGAGTTATTCAGAAGAATACTACTAAAATAACAATTGAATTCAATTATAACATGGTTTTGTAGTATTGTATACAATACAGATTTGTAAATTATTGGCTTGCACATTCATTGCAGTAGATGTTATCCAATTAATTGATTGCTAATCTTGACGAAACTTAGTGACTAAGTTCAATTTCATGTATTTTGTTTTAAGTCACAGTTTTTGTCAAGGCCTAGTGATACTACCTGTTTACTGAAATCAAAGTAGGTAGAGCGAGGTTAGGAATAGCAACTCAGTAGTTGTGGGTTCACCTTTAAGCTACTGAGTTAGGACTCAGTGAATTGCAAATTTATTGTAGATATCCATTCGCCTGTAGACCCTTCAGGGCTAGTTCCGGTCCCAAGCCCGGATAAACGAGGAGTGTTGAGATTTGGGTGGCGACCCCATCCCTGAAAAACACTAACTTGCCGAAAAACGCTAACAAGAATTAATAATTCAAACCATATAAACTCTTCTCTGGCAGTAAGAAGGTCTTCATTTAGAAAAGTCTCATGATGAAAGCCGAGATTCTTCTGAAGTCATGAGGCCGATGACCCTTCTGAAAACCAGAACCCTTTCACGGTGTGGGCAGCCGGTAAGTTACATCCACCCTCATACCCATAAAAGCACACGAGACCTGATCGGTCACAATCAAATCCTTTCTACACCTAATAACTCTTTTATCTCCTTGATCAACTCTTCCTTCGATCGTTTATCACTTCGCGCCATTACATATTGGAGCTTTGAATGTTCGAACCCTATGCCAAATAGGGTAACAGGCTTCATTAGCTAGAACTCTGGAATCCCGGGCGATCGATGTATGTTGTGTCTCCGAAACGCGCATACAAGATCCGAGAGTAAAATCAATTCTATTTCGCCTTGTGCAGATAAAGACACAACAAAGCTTACACTTCATGTTTCAGATATCCCTGATTTTGCCTCTCGCGGCCTCGCCGGCGTAGGTATAGTATTACGTCCTAGAGCAGAACTATCTCTCTTAGACTGGATCCTGATAGACAGTCGCTTGTGCGCTGTCCGACTAAACGGAACGGTAAGGACTCGGAAGGATAGGGATACTCGTCGTTGCCTA